TTTATGAAAAATAAGTTACAGAAGTGAAATCTATGGTAATTTTTATGTTTAAAAAAGCACATGCAATTTTTTATTTTTTGATGTTTTTTTTTGACTTCTAAGTTAACCTAAAATTTAATTACCCCGTAAATTTAAAAACAAGATTTAATAGTTACTGACACCAATCATTATTGTTATTATCATTTTTTTTTTTCTAACAATATAACTCTTTTTATTATTATTATTTTGTTTTCTAATGTGTTTTTTGTTTTATATAATTTATTGATGGAGTTACCTATTAATTTAATTATGGCCTTACCTATCAATTTATTCATAATAACGTTTAAGTTCATACATCTATGCATGGTAATGTTTATTAATTAAGACAATCTTATTTTATTAATTATATATTTCTAAACATTTTTTCTTTTTAAGTTTATACTTATGCTTTTGGAAAAAGTTTTGTACAAAATTTACATTGTTACACAATGCTAGGCGATAAATACAAAAAAAAATTTTTTCTTCTTGCCATTAGTTTTAATTGTAAATTTGTGTAGGTTATAGTATGCAACGGTAAAACATAATGTTTAAACTATATTGAAAAAAAAGAACACTGAACGCGTTTCTGAATAATTTGTTTTGAAGTTTCATTATTTAGTTTGAATATCAATCAACGATGAAAATAAAAAATTATTTAAATAATAAAAAAAAAATTGAAGATAATAAAAATGTTTGAGAACAACAAAAACCTCTTGAATTCGTTTAAAGATAAGTCTAATTGATATTTCAGCTTTTAGTATTGAAGTTTAAAAATATTCAAAATTGTTTTTGTCTTTAAAATGAGAGTGTAATTGTTTTGTTTGTATCGATAAGCAAAAAATGATAATTAAAAAAAAAATTATCTTACATATATATTTATTTTTAGTTTACTTCATTATATGTTATCTTTAACAGATTAGATTTAGAATAAAAGAAATACGGTTCTAAAATCTGTTCAAGAGATTTTGTAAACAAAGCAACATTCTTTAGAATAATAATTCTTTAGACTAAGTCTACAGAATGTCGACATTCTGTAGTGTACAGATTTTAAAACTATATTTTCTTTTATACTAAATCTAAATTTCTAAATTTTTCATTTAACAAATTTATATATGACAAAATTCATAATTTATAAATGACAAAATTCATAATTTATATATAACAAAATTCATAATTTATATATGACAAAATTCATAATTTATATATGACAAAATTCATAATTTAACAAGCATATATCAACTATTATATTAAAAGTTGAGAACTAATATAAAGAAATAAAGAGAATTGAAGGACAAGAAAAAATAATAAGAAAACTGTAAGAGAGTTGAAGGACAAGAAAAATAGTCTTTCTCTCACATAAATATATATTTATGTGAAATAAAACTTTTAAAACTATAATCCTTTCTTGCTTTACGGTACATAGAAAACCATTCTTATTTTATTTGAATAAATTAGTTAAACAGTAAACTTAAGTAAGCTAATTAATAATATCTTCAGTTATAATAAAATTAAAAGACATTTTTAATGCGGTTGATAAATTTAACAAAATCTCATTTTAGTTCAAATCCAGAAAACTGTTTAAAAGCAAATAATTGTAAGTAAATTTATTATATCAAAATGATCAATTGGCTGAGTGAGTTTTTGTTTGCTAGTAAAAGACTTTAGATTAAAGATTAAAAACAAAATAAAGCAAAAAAAAAACTTATACTAAAAAATTTACATTAACAATATTTAGAAAAAAACTATCAGGTGTTTTAAAATACAAGATATAAATACAGTTTTGTTTTCATCCATTTTAAATTTTTTTTGTTTAGTCAAATAAAAGTAATTTTGCCTCATATTTCTATACCATCTTTTAAACTCGTAAAAATGGTTTCTTGCTTTGGATTCCAATGGTTGCATATGTACTGCATTCCCAATACTTTTTCGCTACATCCAAAAAAAATAATGAATATTAAACTGCCGAAGGCAGATAACAATTTGCATAGTAAGCTTTCTGTTGTTAGAAACAAAAAATGTACACAGCCGTTACTTAAAATACAACACAGCAAGAAAAGCTGAAAATCAGCAAGAAAATCACGTTATGGAAACTTTAATCCTAAGTAAGTTAGTAAGAAGCACTTAAATAAAAAGCAGTAATTAAAACTTCAAAAAATGTCTGAAGTTTCAGCATTTCATTTTTTTTTACTTTTAGAGTAACCTGTCCAGGGGTGTACAACCATACGGATTGTTAGCAATTACACATTTAAATAATTTTAGTTAATTGGATACAATTTCAGTAATAGTAGAGTCTCATTATTTTATTTTTATTTTATTTTATTTTATTTATTTTATTTTATTTTAAGTTTATTTTTTGTTCCTTAATATTACAAATTCGTAACCACATAATAAAGATTCGTTAACAGTGAAAATATAAATAAAAACAAAATATTACAAAGTGGTTTCACAAAAATAATAAATTCACTCTAACACTGTAAAAAGAACGCGGAAAACTAACAGAAGACCAAATAGTCTTATCATCAATAACCGCTTTACATTGCCGTAAATATAAAAACATATTCATAAAATTTTTACATAAAATCATTAAACTATAATGATTTTTTCATTGTAACAAATGCTGCGTATTTTTGGTTAGCAAATATTACAATATCTTTTAACTTATTTATATCAAAACTTAATAATTTATATTAATAATGCATTTTAATTGTGTGTAAACTTTCTAATTTATTTGCAAAATAAATTAGAAAGTTTACACACAATTGTATTTCGTAATTTTTGTTATTTTTTATAACAATGTATGATCTCATTCAGCATGATAAACGCAATCCTCTAAAAATAAAATGATACTTGAATGTAAATGTGTCTACCTTTTCATCGTAAAAAAATAGTTTGCGTTTATTTAATTGTTATTTTTTTATTATTTTTCTTTTATCAATGATTAACTGTAGACTGTGTATCATTGGCTCATATAGCTGTAGACTGCAACTATGTTTTTATTAATCTTATGACTTAATTTAATTTATGTCAGTTTAAAAAGTAAGTTCTAATAAAAATTAAATAAAATTAAAAAGTCAACTTTAAGTTAAGTTACATTGGAATAGTAGCAGTGGAGTGTACGTGTATTAACTTTGGGCTTACGTTTAACTTGCTTTCTAATAATCAAAAGAATGATTTTCTAGATTTTAAACATAAATAATCAATTTTGCGTCACAAATTTATTACTTGGTTTAGTTAAGGCGATTTACAAAGTAATTAAATTCTTTTATTTGAAACTAGCATGATTTTATCAGCGTATTATGAGAGCTGATATAGCTGTAGACTGTTTATCATTGGCTGATATAGCTGTAGACTGTGTATCATTGGCTGATATAGCTGTAGACTGTGTATCATTGGCTGATATAGCTGTAGACTGTGTATCATTGGCTGATATAGCTGTAGACTGTGTATCATTGGCTGATATAGCTGTAGACTGTGTATCATTGGCTGATATAGCTGTAGACTGTGTATCATTGGCTAATATAGCTGTAGACTGTGTATCATTGGCTGATATAGCTGTAGACTGTGTATCATTGGCTGATATAGCTGTAGACTGCAACTATGTTTTTATTCATCTAATATCTTAATGTAATTTATGTCAGTTTGAAAAGTAAGTTCTAATAAAACACATAATTAAATAATATATTTTTTAAATAATATAATTTTTATATAATCTAATTTTTTTGCTTTTTAATATTCAAAGAAACTGTTTTTTTTTTTTAATACAATTTTCAAAACCTCTATACTACCCGTTATAGTGAATCTAAAAAACACCATTTTGGAGTCTTTAGATCAATTTGCTCATCGGCATTAACATGAATTTATTTAAAATCTTTTGAAAAAGTTCATTAATTTACTACAGATCCTAGTTCTAATTGATTCTGACGTATATTAACTATAAATAGTTGTCAAAACAACAGTATTTCTATTAATTTTAACAATAAATACTAAGATTCCGACAAAGAGCTTATTATTAATAAAATTTGCCGACAAATGATCAGAACAGATGATATTGTTAAACTTTAATGTTTATTCCATCTAAACAACGTATTTATTTATAATCTTATTAAAATTCAGACAAGCGACTGTGATTTAAGATATCTTTTTAAAATTTTCTGTCTGGCTTTTTTTGCTATAACTATTTATATTTTTTGAAACCGCAAAATTTATCATTTTACTTTTTTTTTATCTTTTCATAACTGACAGACGTGTTTATTTAACGGAAATATGTTGCAGTCATCAAACCATCATACAGACGGTATAATATATAAAACAATATTTAAAACTTCTTTAACTATACCGAGAACCTAGTTTCCCCCCCCCCCCTTCCTTACTATAACAAAAAGTAACAGAATCCTAAAAGTTCCTCTTCTATAATGTATTTTGATAACGATCCTGAATCACTTTGTATCAAAGTCAATTATTTCAAAATCGAAAATTTAATAATAAAATTGTGTTTAAAAATATTTATGCATTAAATATGCAAGAGGAAACCAATATAACAGACTAATAAAAACCAATTTTACGTCTTATTGTAACAACTACTTTGTAATATAAGTTGTTATAGTATATGATACACTCTCAACAAACTTATAATAAAACTAAATAATGTATGTATTATAAAACCTAAAGAATGATATAAGCAATGCTTTTAAAATAAAAGGATACTCAAATGTAAATAAGTGTCCATTTTTGATAAAAAACTAGGTAAATTTGAATGGTCCTTTACAATCCTTTACAAGTGAAAGGTGTTGGCTTTTTAATAATGATACGGTTACATAAAAGGGCTTCACTAATTTTTTTGAATTACAGACATCTATGTAAAATAAGATTTTATTATTTATGAATTTACGTCAATGGGTGATTAAAATGTTTTAGAAAAATGAAATATAAGATAAAACTACAAATTTAATTTAAAAACCCATTGTAAAAGAATATTAACTCCATAACACGTCAGCAATCTTGCTCTCTATATAAAGACGCGGTATTCTATAAGTCTATGCAGATCTGCTTAGAGAAAGACAAACATTGCAATACAGATAACAGAAAATGGTATTTAAAAATTTGAATTTTTTTCTTAGGATTTTCATGCTAAAAATTTGAAAGCAAAATAAGTTTAATTAAAAAACAACTTAATTTATAAATAACTTTTTTTTTTAGAAAATGATATTTGGTTTTGTTTTACTATTTGTGGTTACTCATGGTTTAGGTACCAATATTTATTCAAACTCATTTTAAAAATAACTACTTTTTAGGATTTTTTTTTTTTGTATTACTGTTAATCATTTCCTTACTAAATAATTTAAAATACTTTATAACAATATATCACACTTAAGCGCTGCATTACTCAAGTTTTATACTGTTCTTATGCTGTAAAAGTGTAATAAAAATTTAAAGAAAGCAAATTTACAAGTTGGATATAATAGTTGTAAATAAAAACTATGCTGTAAAAAAGTAATAAAGTTTTATAGAAACCAACTTTTGCAGTTGGATACACTAGTATTAAATAAAAATAGCAAATAAATAACACCTGTACAAAATTCAGTATTATGCTTTACAAAATAATAAACATTTTTAGGTTTTTTTATGTTTGTTTTAGTTTGTCTTTTAGTTTTTCATTTCAGTTTTATTTCTCTCAGTGTATTTTTTAGACATGATGACTGGACGTTACGAATTAAGTTTAGAAAAAGGTAAATTAATAGCAACTATCCCTGTATTGGCTATGTCCTACAAATTATCGTTTGATTTAAAACCGAAATCATACGCATATGGTTTTCATAGCGTTCTTCATTTCACAGTTGGTGATGATCTCAGTAAGTACGGTGACAGAACTCCGGCACTTTGGTTTCGACAGTATGAACATAACTCTAACGGCTTATTGCACATTGCTGCACCTATCAATGGAAACCCTAATGGACAAACTAGTATCAATGCATTTCCACTAAATGTTTGGACAAACGTTGTTATTAGTCAGCAGCTTGTTGATAACGAATATGTTTTCACAATCGGACTAAATGGAACGAATGTATTTTCTGAAAGGAACAATAAACCCCAAAAATTTGACAATGTCAGAGTTTATGTTTCGGATCCTTGGTATCCACCTCATAATGGATCAATAAAAAATCTAATTCTTGAAAATGGGGAGCCAGGTATTACCGTATTTATATTTTCTTTTATAAGGTTTTTGTCTAACGTACATAAACGGTCAAACAATGAGTCTGCTTTATCGTTTTAAATTTTAATAAAACGTAAATTAAATTATAAAACTTTTAAACACACTATATATATTTATATAAATATCTAAAGTAACTTTTTAAACAGTTATATTAATTTCATTGTTTATAATATTTTTATTTTTAATATTCGTTTAACTGGAATTATATGGAATTTTAACACGGTATTTTAGGTGAATCTTTATCGAAACCCCTATATCCACAAAGTAAGGTTTTTTAAATTTAATCAAACTTTCGAAACTTATTGTAATTTATTTTTATTCTTCATAATTACTTCTAATCGTTTATATATGGTGTTTGCTTTTCTTTAGGCTCAATACGTCGCGATGGTGAAGAGATACTGAAAAAAAACAATTTGATTGCGCTTTTGTCAAATGTAGAAAAATCGTTTTATATGTTTTTCCAATTAATACTCAACAAGTTTTCAGATGATTTTAGAAGTGTCATTCATTTTACTATAGGAGAGGATAATGTAAAATACGGCGATCGAATTCCTGGCATTTGGATTTTTAAAGAAAAATTACACGTTGGTTTTGCAATTAGTGGTGAAAAAAATGAATATTTTGTATCCAAGCCACTTCTACTAGACGAGTGGATAAATATTGAAATATGGCAGCGTGTTGAATTGGGAGTGTTTTATTTTTCAGTGTTTATTGATGACGTAGAAGTGTATAAAGTACAAAACTTAAACGCACAAGTGTTTAAAGGAGTCAACGTATTCGCAGGTGATCCATGGTATGAAGCCCAGGATGGTGCCATCAGAGACTTTTTATTCAAGAATAAAAATTAATTTGATTTTAGTGTTGTTAATGTATTTTCTTAAACCGTTTGTAAAACTGTATTACTAAATTTTTATTATTTGTTCTAATTTTTTTATCGCGTACTACCGAGACAGAAAACCATATTTAAAAAATGTTTTGCATCAAGCTTAAAAACATACTAAAAATCATGATTTGCAACTACATCGGTCAAATATTGGCTAAAGTCGTAACCAAAAAAAATGCTTTTGATATTATCTTTCCATTATTTTAACATATAAAAATAAAAAAAGTATGCTATATTTGTTATTCTTTTGAGAATTTTAAAAGGTTCCTTATTAGAAATAAACTCTAAGAGGTTCAAGTGACTTCTACTAACTGGTTCTAGGGACCTCTTAAGAGTCCCTTTAAGTATAAGGGTATATTATGGGCAAATTTATTTCAATTTTTTTTTT